CCAAACAGGGTTTGCTGCCAAAATGGGCAGCCAAGCTGATGGCTTAGGTCATCAGGGGTTTCATTCCTCCTTGTTCTTCCAAAGTGGGCATGAGATTGACATCTCTCCTCTAGAATATGATCAGTTATAGGGATTCCATAGCAAGATAAATTAGATCCCAAAGTGTTAAGCTCCTTTAGTTAGCAAAAAATGTCCCTTTCCTCTTTAAAGTATATATAAGCCAGCCCAGAGTCTAAGCAGAGAGAGCTGGGAATTGTTAGCTGTGTGTCTGGAGCCTACATCTCATTTTGACACTCAAATTTATGCAAATTCTTCTCAAATTTGCTATATCCCTCTCTTGAGATTCTCTCTCAAGCCCCTGCTGACTCTACTTGAAACTCACTGTCAGTTTCTTTTTTGCTGGTATTCTTAATTTGCTAGATATTCTTACATAGTCAGCCCTTCTTCTCCATGATGTCTGCAGCCATGGAGTCAACCAACCATGGACCAGAAATATTTGAAAAAATTGTGCCTGTGCAGAACATGTACAGACATTTTTTTGTCACTAGTTTCTAAACAACACAGCATAACAGCAATTTATATAGCATTTATATTGTATTAAGTATTATAAGGAATTTAGAAATATTTTAATATATATGGGAGGATGTGAGTAGTGTATATAAAAATACTATACTACTTTATGTAAGGGACTTTGAGCATCTGCAGATTTTGGTATCCATGGGGATTCTAGAATCAATACCTTTGGATATCAAGGGATGGATGATTGTGTAGAGCCATATCTAAGATGCTCCTCAGCACCTGTATAAATTAATTAAATATGGAGGGTATTTTGCAAAGGTTTCACATAACTCAAAATTTCCAGTCATAACAATACTTCTCATCCAGATGGCCTTTAGATGTGATAATTGAGTGTATACACTTGTTGACTGTTAGAAGCTCTGGGTGGACCTGTAAGTGAGAGATTTCTTCACATTATTTGGATCCACTTCTCAGTGAAGATAGAATGGAAGTGAAGGGCACCCTCCTACACACCATATAGCAAAAAATCATTGTCACTCAAAGAGTGTATTATTAATCTTAAGTTAGAAAATAATGTGCCTAACTTAATTTTTCTGAAATTAAAGTGGGTGTTATGGTTTAAATGTGAGGTGTCTCCCAAAAGCT